GTTGCCGGAGAGGCCGACGCTCAGAGAGGGGCAGAGGGGCGCCGCAGCACCCTCGGCTCACTAGCGCCCCCTCCCGGTGCACCACGCCCTCCGCTGAGCGCCCGGCGCTGCCCGCTCAGGGGGCGCAGCTGCGGGAGGGCCTGGCCGCTGCCTCGCTTCCCGGACCGCGGCCTTTCCGCCTCACACTGACTAGGAGTGTGAGTCGTGCTCCAGTGTCTGGAATGGCAGTCAGCTCTATTGGAACGGAACCTGAACTATTGCTACACCGTTGGAGGCCGAGAAGGGACGGTCTTCCCTGCGTCCGGACGTCCCGTGGACCACACGCCCTGTGCGGACCCCGGTGAGACCGGCGGGCCCGCTGGGCGATGTGCGCGGCGCTGGCGGCCTAGACTTGCCCCCAAGGAACCACTGTCCCGTGACCCCGAGACTCACGTAGGTGAGCAGCGCAAGCGGCCGCGAAGCGTGCTCCTGGGCAGCTGGGCGATGCTGCCACCGCTGCTCACGCGTGACCTCCGCGCGGGCCGTCGCGGGCACTGGAACCTCCTGGCACGCACTCCGGCCCGGCTGGACCCTGGCTGTCCGGGGCCTCAAAGAGCGCGGATCCCGTGTCCGACCCCACGTGGCGGCCGCCCGTGCTGGGATTCTGCTGCATTTTGTCTTCCTTGAACTTGAGGCTGTCTCCGTGACAGTGGGCTTGACCTCCTCTCGGCGCCCTCAGCCCGTTCAGGTGTAGAATTGGGTAACTAGAGGCGAGTTGCACTTACAGGGTCACACTGGTAGCCGGCATTGTGTACTTTCCGCTTTTCTTGTTAGCAGCATTGTTTTCAAAGGTAAATTCTTTGCAACAGAATAACAATGATAATTGAGACATTAACTTGGAGGCATTAAATTTTAATTGTGTAGAAATACGGCTGATGTAGTTAATGGGTCTGCGCTCTCAGGCCTGAGTCTGTGCAGGTGGGTTCCCGGGGAAGGTGCCGTTTTATCGTCCACTGTCCCGAGTGTCGGTCACACCGCTGGTCATTTCTCCGGGTGACAGTTCTCAGGGCTTGGTGTGATGGGCGTTTCAGCAGCAGTGGTGGCCGGGGGCTCAGGAACTCCTCACCTGTGGACACCCCCCCCCCCCATCTTTCCTCTTGGACTTCAGCGACTTCGCAGTTTCTCAGTTGCTTGGGGTCCAGGTTGTATTTCAGCCTTACCTCCACGAGGGCAGCCAAGGGTGGATTTCACTTTCTTTTAGTAAGAAAGGGAATTAATTCTATTGTGTCTGGAACTTTTTGAAGAGAGATTTCATCCAGTGTGTAACTCCTAATGATCAAAATGCGTATTTTATGCAATTTCGTTTTCTTAACCATTTGTTTCTCTTGTTCTGCTCACAGTAAAAGTTGTATGAGCCCTGGCCGGCTTGGCTCAGTGGAGAGAGCATCGACCTGTGGACTGAAAGGTCTCAGGTTCGATTCCAGTCAAGGGCACATGCCTGGGTGGGGGGGCTCGATCCCTAGGAGGGGCCTGCAGGGGGCAGCCGATCAATGATTCTCTCTCGTTATTGATGTTTCTCTCCCTCTCTGAAGTCAATAAAAATATCTTAAATTCTTTTCTGCATGAACAACATGGCTTTAGGAAACGTTACGATGATCACTTTTCTCCCTCCTCCTGACTTCTCTTTGTCTCCGTTACAGAAATGAGCCGCCAGACTGCAACCGCGTTACCCACCGGGACCTCCAAGTGCACGCCGTCCCAGCGGGTGCCCGCCCTCACGGGCACCACCGCATCCAACAATGACCTGGCCAGTCTCTTTGAGTGTCCTGTCTGCTTTGACTATGTGTTGCCACCCATTCTTCAGTGTCAGAGCGGCCATCTTGTCTGTAGCAACTGTCGCCCAAAGCTCACGTGTTGTCCAACCTGCCGGGGCCCCTTGGGATCCATTCGCAACTTGGCGATGGAGAAAGTGGCCAATTCGGTACTTTTCCCTTGTAAATACGCCTCTTCCGGGTGTGAAATCACTCTGCCCCACACGGAAAAAGCAGACCACGAGGAGCTCTGCGAGTTCCGGCCTTACTCCTGCCCCTGCCCCGGCGCGTCCTGTAAGTGGCAGGGCTCCCTGGATGCCGTGATGCCCCACCTGATGCATCAGCACAAGTCCATCACCACCCTGCAGGGGGAGGACATCGTGTTCCTCGCCACGGACATCAACCTCCCCGGGGCGGTGGACTGGGTGATGATGCAGTCCTGCTTCGGCTTCCACTTCATGCTGGTCTTGGAGAAGCAGGAGAAGTATGACGGGCACCAGCAGTTCTTTGCGATTGTCCAGCTGATAGGAACGCGCAAGCAGGCAGAAAATTTTGCTTATCGACTCGAGCTAAATGGTCATAGGCGGCGATTGACTTGGGAAGCTACTCCCCAATCTATTCATGAGGGAATTGCAACAGCCATTAGGAATAGCGACTGTCTAGTCTTTGACACCAGCATCGCACAGCTTTTTGCAGAAAATGGCAATCTAGGCATCAATGTCACTATTTCCATGTGTTGAAGTGGCGATCACACGTTTTCTGGCCAGTGTTTAAAACCATTGCGTTCAACTTCAGAGAATAGGCCCCCTCTGCCTGCCCCCCTGAGACTTTTGGTAGGTGGAGCTAGTCACATGAAGGTAAATAAATGGAAAGGCTGTTAAATACAGGAAATGGTTGCATGTAGTAACACTAATATATTCAAAATAAGTCAACAGTAAACCACTGAAAAAATATATATATACACCCAAGATGGGCCTCTTTTGTATTAAGAAAGAAAGCATTGCAAAATAATTCTGAATTTGTGTTTGTTGTAGATTGAGGGTACTGTTGAGAAATACTGGGTTTTTGTTTCTGCGTGTGAGAGTGTGTGGGTGCGTGTGCGTGTGCTTGGGTTTTTTTCCTTTAACTGACAAGCCATGTTGAGTGGTCTTGGGCCACTGCTTCCCCTCTTTTGAGTCAATACATAGTGCTGCTGTGTGTGTATATATTTTTTGTGTGTATTTGCTAATTTTTATTAATTCTAGTTTTTCATTAAATAAATTTGACTTTCTTTTCTGTAACTCAAGCTTTTCCCATTTTTTTTGTACCTTTTTAAAGTTAGTAGTTTTTTGATATGCATAATTTGTTTATGGTAAAGTTTATACATGTGTGTTCCATACATGTTTTTTCTCCCCATTAATCAGTTCATTAGAAATACTTTAAATTCAGCCTCTTGTGAAGACACAAGTTCCCGAAAGGAGAGGTAACGTTGGAAGAAAGATCAGAAGCTGCTTAAAACAGCTAGAAGGTGGTCGGTCGGTCGGTCTTTTTCTCTTTTTTCCAGTTGAGTCACACCTTCAAACTTATTCTTTAAAAGGTAGTAGGATATACTGATTTTTAAAAAAATATTGAAAAATCCCCTCGCACCCCCCAATATCTTGGACAAATCACATATGTTTAAAATTTGTTCTCGTATTTATTGGTTTTGCAAAAGAAGGCATCATCTCACAGTATTTGTAATTAAAAGCAAAGCATTTGTTTAAAAAAAGGCAGTTTGCAAAAAAATGTTTTTGGTCTTTTATAATGCTCATTAAAAGAACATCTGGCAAATTGAAAACTCTTTGTGTTGCTTTAGCTCTAAGTTTGATTAAAATCCAAAGCTGTTTTCCTGTCCGATTCTGTGCTTCACAGCAGAGAGCAGTGTGCAGTTTTGAAATGCACGAGTTTTATTGTCAAGTACAGCGCAGCGAGCCCAGGTCCGACTCGTCCTCCCGGGCACGGATTCACCAGCCGGGCCAGGCACGCCTGTAACTCGCAGACCCCATTCTCATCCAAGAAACTGCAGCGCCTGACATACCTGTGCCTCAGTTTGGAAGAGCGCTCCTGAGGGGGCACGGGGTTGTCCATCGCGTCCTCAGTCTGCACAGCCACACTGGCGTGGCAGGAAGGTGGGCGCTGGGTAAGGAAAGCTGTGACCCTGGAAGCCCCAGCCTGACCTGCTGTCCTAACCCTGGGTGAGTCGGGACGAGAAAGGAGAGCCCGCAGACGGGACGGACAGGGAGGCGGTGGGGCCTGGGTCTCGCGGGGTCAGGATCACGAGCATGGGGACCAGCCCGGAAAGGTTGGCGGCCTCCCGCTGGGGACTGGACTTTATAGGGGGACAGGCGTTCGGGGCCGGCGTGTTTGACTGACGTGTGCTAACCGGGCCCGCTCTGCCTGTGTGATGCGTGTGCTGGGACGTGTGGGCCTCCTCACGCGGTACTTAACCCGAAACTTCACATCCACAGAGACTCCGGCTGTGTTTTCAGCTTTGCCCACTGCCCCTCCCGCATCGACGGGGACCTGAGGTCATGGTCTCTACCCGTTGTCTTGACCTTGCCCGGGCGTCTGCGCCACCCGAGGCTCGTGGAACAGATCTGAGTGTGGCTGGGAGTCTCTGGTGGGGCTGGAGAATGGACGTTTCTAGCAAGTTCTCGAGTGGCAGGTGTTCTGCCTGGGGCCACATGGGAACCGTGTGCCGCCGTCCCAGGGACAGACGATGACCGAAGACAGGAGTCAGTGCCATCTGTTTATTAAAATCTCTGTAGCCCCCGCGGCCCCGCGGTGAGGCTTGTGCCTGCTGATCAGCTCACAGGGGAAGGGACGTCTGGCTTACCCGCTGGTGTGAGCAGCCAGCCCGGCGGGCCTCGGGGTTTCAGGACGGCGCTTGAGCCGCGCTCCGAGCCTACAGTTTGCTATTTAAGAGGCCGGGCCTGGCCTTGACCGAGAAGCCCCCGTCGAAAGCGGCGTTGAGGACCTCGTCCAGGCAGCTCGCCGTGACGAAGCTCAGGTCGCGGCGCACGTTGCCCGGGATCTCCTCCAGGTCCTTCTCGTTCCTCTGCGGGAGGATGACCCGCTTCAGGCCCGCCCGGTGCGCCGCCAGCACCTTGTCCTTGATGCCGCCCACCTGCGGGGGAAGGCAGGGGCGTGACCTGGGGCCCAGCACCCCGCTGCTTTCCCGCCGCCAGGCCACCGCCCGGCCGGCACAGGAGCGGGGAGAGCCGTGAGGAGGTCAGTAAGCAGTGAATTCTCTTCACGTCAGCGCTCCAGGCCAGCCTTTCACGGGGGAAGGTGCCGGTTTTCTCCGTCCCTGTTCCTGCACGTCAGTCTCTGCAGTCACGGCGCCTGCGGGCCGATGGGGCCGATTCGGAAAAAGTGATCGTCGACCTGACACCCGCCCGCACAGCTCAGCTGGGCGCCAGGGTGACACCGCTGCACAGGGCAGAGCTGGACCGCTGGGCCACCTCGGGAGGACACAGGTCCCACGGCCTCGGCTCCGTGGTTAAAAGATGTCCACAAAAACCCACACACAAAGACATGGAGGCTGAGCAATGAGATCAAGGAAGAAAAGATATCATGAAACAGATGAAAATGAGAGCACAACCCACAATCAACGGGGCACAGTGAAAGCAGTCCTAAGAGGGAAATTCATAGCATTACAGGTCAACTGTGAGAAAAAAGAAAGATCTCAATGTAACTTCACACGTAAAGGAACTGAAAAAGAACAACAAACAAAGCCCAAAGTAAGTAAAAAAACCAAAGAGCGGAAATACAATGGAGTAAAGAAAAACCAACACAAAAGACCCATGAAGCCCTGATCAGTGTGGCTCAGTGGATAGAGCGTCAGCCTGCGGACTGAAGGGTCCCGGGGTCGATTCCAGTCAAGGGCATGTACCTCGATTGCGGGCCCCTCCCCCAGTAGGGGGCGTGCAGGAGGCAGCTGATCGATGTTTCTCTCTCATCGATGTTTCTAACTCTCTATCCCTCTCCCTTCCTCTCTGTAAAAAATCAATAAAATATATTAAAAAAAAAAAAAGACCCATGAAACCAACAGCTGGTTCTCTGAGAAGATACACAAGGGAAATCTTCAACCAGATCATCAGGGAAGAGCCCACATGAAGCCAGAGATGAAAAAATACAGAGGGTTGTACAAGGAAACAGTGTGAACTATAGGCCAATAACTCGGGCAGTCTGGACCACATGGATAAATTCCTAGAAACATACAATCCTCCAAGACTGAATCAGAGAATTGAAACAGACCAGTTACAACTAGTGAAACGGACGCAGTCATTAAAAGCCGCTGGACCAGGTGGCTCACAGGTGAGTTTTACCAAACTTTCAAAGAACTGGCCCCTGTCCTCACTCCCAGAATATGCCGGAGGAGGGAAGCCTCCCAGTTCGGTTCACCAGGCCAGCGGCACCCTAATTCCAAAACAAGGCGGAGACACTGCACGTGCACCCGATGAAGGACAGAAATCACAGGATCATCAACAGGTGCAGGGAAATCCTTCGATAAACCCAGCACACATTTACGATAAAAACCAACACGCAGCAGAGTAGGACTAGAGGGGACATACCTCAGTGGGACCGCCTCACACTAACGCTGTACAGCAGAGGAGACCATCCAACAATAAAGACAGACCACTGGATGGAGAACGGATTTGCCAACGACGCATCTGATAAGGGTTAACAGCCAAAATTTATTTTAAAAACTTGTTCAACACCAAAAAAAAAAAATCCAATTTAAAAAATGGGCAAAGGACTTCTCCAAAGAGGATATACCGACGGCCAACAGCGTTATCATTAGATGCAAATCACCCGGTGACCACAATGAGGTGCCACCTCACCCGTCAGTGGCGAGCGTCAGTAAAGCAACAGCCAGCAAGTGCTGGGAGGATGTGCAGCGGGAACCCTCGGGCACCTTTAGCGGGAATGCTGGTTGGTGCAGCCGTTGTGGAAAGCAGGATACAACACCAATAATGAACGATCAGAAAGGGAAACTAAGAAAATAACCCCATTTACATGCTTAAAAACCCACAAAAAACCTATGTACAATTAAAAAATATCTATATACGTGTTTATTGATTTCAGAGAGAAAGGGAGAGAGAAACATCAATGATGAGAGAGAATCATTGATTGGCTGCCTCCTGCACGCCCCCTCCTGGGGGATCGAGCCTACGCCCCTGGCATGTGCCCTTGACCGGAATCAAACCTGGGACCCTTTCAGTCCCTAGGCCGACGCTCTATCCACTGAGCCAAACCAGCTAGGGCACCAGGGATGTAAAAGACTTGTACTTGCAAAATATGAAACTGAACAAAGAAACTGAAGAAGATACAAGTGGAAGTATATACTATGTTCATGGACAGGAAGAATTAACATCATTAAAATGTCCCACTACCCAAGCAATCTATAGATTTTTTTTTGAAATATATTTTATTGATTTTTTACAGAGAGGAAAGGAGAGAGATAGCGATAGAGAGTTAGAAACATCGATGAGAGAGAAACATCGATCAGCTGCCTCCTGCACATCCCCCACTGGGGAACTGCGCGCAACCCAGGTACATGCCCTTGACCGGAATTGAACCTGGGACCTTTCAGTCCGCAGGCCGACGCTCTATCCACTGAGCCAAACTGGTTTCGGCAGGTAATCTATAGATTCAAAGCAATTCCTATCAAGACAGCCCTGGCGTATTTCACAGAACTAGACCAAATATTTCAAAAATGTACGAGGAACCACAAAAGGCCCTGAACAGCGACAGCAATCTTGAGAAAGAACAAAGTTGGAGGAATCCTGCTACCTGATCTCAAACTGTGCTGCCAGGCCACGGCCACCAACCCGCCTGGTGCTGGCTCTCTGATCAGCCACCCACGGCAGCCCTCCTCCCGGGTTTTCTGTGCCCGACTCAGCGTGTGAGCCGACAACTCCGAGTGCAGGAGTGACGTGTCATGGCTGCCGGGAGGCCTGCGCACAAAGCTCGCTGTGAAGCCTTCCCCTCGGGGTCTGAGGGCGCTGCACCGGGTCCCCGGGGAGAGGGCGAGGAAGCTCGTGGGCGAGAGGTCCCCAGGAGGGGACGCTTTCCTGCCGGGGGGCCTCCCGAGCTGAGGAGAGTCCCGGTCCCTTTCTCTGAGCAGAACCCCTGGGAGTCAGAGGTCGGTCGGCCTGACTGTTTCCGTGTTATTTTCCCCGAATGGCCGGCCAGTTCGAAAGCCCTAGTTTTAAATCCAAGAGCTGTCTCGGCCTCGCCCTGGAGTCCCGTCTGGTCTCAGGTCCAGCCTCAGCGCTGCTGCCTGGTCTCCTGTGACAGCGGACACTGGGCTCACGGGAGCCGCTGCGCCTCTGCTGGGTGTGCAGGGGAGCCCTGGCCCTGCCAGCAGGCGCTGGGGAGGCCGCTGGGCCAGAGACCTCAGTGCCCTGGGGTTCCCCCCGGCTCCTTCCTGTGCTCCGGGGCCAGCGCTTCTCCCAGACGGGAGCTGGGACACCATCTCCCCCATCAGGACGCCCCCAGCCTCCAGGCGCTGGCTGAGCTACCAGCGTGGGCCCCGCTCACTGCTGAGGGTCAGATGTGCTCCCTTATTCCTCCCTCAGTCCTCCACCTCTGCACCTGGGAGCTGAGACTGGGTCCTGAAGCCCGTGCTCGTCTGCGTTTGGGCGCAGCTGGTGTTACCGCCGTCACCGTCACCTTAGCTCTGGGGCGGCAACGATGAGACCAGCCTCCTGAGTGCACCCCTCGAGCGTGGCGGCATCATCGGGCCCAGCATCTGACTTCTGGCGACTAAACCAGCCGGGGCACCAAGAGCATCGGTAACGCTGTGACCTTACTGGGCAACCCTGTGACCTGCTCCCCATCACCTCCGACACTGACATCCTCTCTACTCCTCATTTGCTATGGACCTGGCAGATTCTGCTGTAGACGCAACAGGCAGCTGATGACTCACAACCTGCATACTCCCAAGGGTCTGTATTGTTTCCTTAAAGCTTTTAAAAGAAAATGTTTTTGATTCAGAGGGGAAGAGAGGGGGGGAGAGAGAGAAACATCAATGATGAGAGAGAATCATGGATCGGCTGCCTCCTGCATGCCCCACACTGGGGATGGAGCCTGCAACCCGGGCCTGTGCCCTGACCGGGAATGGAACCATGACCTTCTGGTTCATAGGTCAATGCTTAACCACTGAGCCACACCAGCTTGGCTTTTCAGTGCTTTTATGAGTAGTTTAAGCTACAGGCCCAGAATGTGTGTAAGTTTTTGGATCTAGCAGTGAGCCCTCACTGCCATTCCCAGGTGTCATGCTCACTCATCTCCATGTCCACCAGCTCCGCCCGCTGACCTCTGGGGGAGGGCCGAGGCTCCCAGAGGCCCAGAGGTGAGTGTGTCACACCGGCCCCGCCCCACCTCCCGCCTGTGCCGTGCAGTGAACACTTTGCTCGCTGAACAAAGCCCCAGATCTCCAGCTAAACGGCCCATGTCACCGACGACCACACTGACGTGCCCTTAGCAAGTCCTCATTCTTAGAAGAAAAAACCTGGGAAAATTGCTTTGGAAATTTGATGAAATTTAAAAATATGAATTACAGCTGTAAGCATTTTCTATGTATTTAAAACTAAGGTGTTCATCAGAAGAAGGCAAACCACTTTTAAATTTAAACTACGATTATTTAAAACTGCAAAGTCACCCACGGAAGGGCTGGCCCTCAGACTCACCGGCAGCACCAGGCCCCGCAGCGTGATCTCGCCCGTCATGGCCACGTCGGAGCGCACCAGCCGCCCGCTGAACAGCGAGGCCAGGCAGGTCACGATGGTGACCCCTGCCGACGGCCCATCCTTGGTGACGGCTCCAGCCGGGAAGTGCAGGTGGATGTCTGTGTTGTCGAGAAGATCGAAACTTCCAGAAGCTTACAAAGAAAGAAGGATGTTAATGTAGGAACTTACACCTGTTTTCTTTTTCTCCTAAAAAAGAAAGGCAAAAGTGATAAAAAAAAAAAAAAAACCCCAAAACCAAAACAAAACGCTCTGGGGAAAGGACTCCTTCCCGATGCTAACGGCGGTGCGTCCGAGGGCGTCCGAGTGTGGCTCTCCTCCCCATGGGGGAGGACAGCACAGCCCGCACTGCTGCTGGGTCAGGCGCGCGCGGGCCGCCCTGAAGGGGGACCGAGAACTCCCACGGCTCCCACGCCAGGGCCCGTCAGTGAGCGTGGCTGCCCACCCTCGTCTCCGGCTCCTCACGACCCCAGAGCACC